CTTCGTGCACCTTACCCAACAGCGCGACCTCTGGCAGCCGTAAGGCGAGGACTGTGAAAGACATTGGGTCTGCCGAATGGATCTGTAGCACATATTAGATCATATTAGCATATGGGAAATGAAACTTTGTATCATTGGGATGCCAAATTCTTCTTCTCCATCGCCCTTTGGGATGCCAAATGCTTTGGGTCGTTTTTCATGCACCCGTCTGGGTGCCTGGTCTTCTTGGCGAAAGAGTGACTCCACCCGATTCCAAACCTCAAAGGCTGGAACCAAAGCAAACAAAGCAAGGCTCTTCTTGAAGCTCTAAAAACTATGCCCTTTACCAAGCTGTAGCAAGATTCCTGTGGTCAAACACTTGGTACAAAAGTGCATCATTTTCAAGTGAAGCAGAGAAGAACGCTTTAATTGGATTCATGTGGAGACAGCTGCTCAGCCTTTCAATGAACAAATTCATCAATATCCTCACTCACACTCTTTAACTAATGAATGTATAATAATTTTTAATGTATATATTCAAAACTGCTCCCATTGAGGCCAGCTGCGTGTCCAAACTTAAATCGTAACCTTTTCTCAACAACATCAATTCCAGAATGCCTTAGGAGCAAGGACGCTACTAGGAGCAAGGGGCATCGCTACTAGGGCCTTACTACTAGGAGCAAGGGGGCTAATTCTATTGATCTCCAGTGTCTTTAATCTTCGACCGTCTTCTGGCTTGTCCCACCTCGCGTGCGGCATCGGTCGTGCTGCTCCAAGATGAGATGTTACCTGCGGTGTGAGAACGGGAAGTTCCGCGTCCAAACAGAGGATGGAGACCGGAAGTTCCGCAAAGGAAATATGAAGAAACTAGTTCTGTATACAAAAAGACTAGCTGGAACTGCACTATGAACTCTTGACACCTGAACAAACCCCAGCTACCAACAAAAGCACTCCACTATAGCCCATAGCGTTGACAATGAGGACTTCCCGCAGCAATTGCTGGGCATAGCAGTACTTACGTGAGCAATAGCAATCTGGCCACAATTGTCCATTGGGGTCTCCAGCGAGCAGGCTCAACAACGACATATTCTCTGCTGCTGGTGTGTTGCACTTAGAGAATGTCAAGGCATCATGCATCGATGGTTTACCACTCCAAAGAACTGCCACGGCCAAGAAGCCAAGAAAATCTGTGATGGCATGAAAATGCTCCCGGATGACTGAGGCCTCCGGAAGGCACATGATGACGCATGATGCAACCATGTGTGGATGCAGGTTGAGACGAATTGAAAAACCCAAACCGACGGAGGCTGTTCAAAAGGGTCTGAAACATTCTGAAACCCACTCCGGGCAATCTCATCGCCGTTGAATTGTTCGTCTGCAACCGGAATGTAAGGGCATGTCGCAAAACACGCTTGGCTTTGGGAAGGTGGGAAGGCGCCTTATTCGCATCGTTGAGGTTTTCGTTCTGGTCCTCCTTTGCAGCCTCAACTCCGAGCCCAAACGCATATATCATATTTCTGTCCGACTCACTCTCGCTCGCTCTCTGCACGCAGAATTGTAGGTGATCCAAGTGCATTGAATTTCTTCCAGTTTTTGTATCAGCCACCAACTCTTGTGGCTGACTCATTTTGAAACAGCGGGCCTTCTCCAACAAGTCTTGACGGGAGGTGGGGCAGCTCAGCATCTTTTCCTGATCGACTCAGAGTCCATGAACTACCCGAACGTTGAGATTAGAACGGACGGCCTAAGCATCCCGTTAATCCAAACGATCTTGGATTGGTATATTGCACTGTATGTATGCATTCGTACGCGTATTATGTGGTCTGAGGATCTGCTGCAATGCCAATACCTTCGGTCATCACCACTGACAGGGTTGTCCTTGGTCAAGTCCGGTTAAACTGCTTGTGTGGAGTATACAAGGCCAAACAAAAATGCACTCAAAATGATCTGTGCAAAGATTCTGTGTGAGAATCAATTCTTCCAGATTCACACTGTGATGACATCATTTGCCGATTTGCCAAGGTTCTTCACCACATTTCCTGCCAAAGGTATCCACCCTACTGCATGGCTCACCAGCGACATCTTCACCTGGCAGGTTTCTCTACGTGCTCGGGCGCATCTACCTGAGTCTACCTGGCTAGGGTTTCTGCAAATTTGATGACCAAATCCATGTGAAAGCCTTGCCATGACCAGTCAGGTCAATCTGCCCCAATCCTCAAGACCTGGAAAGCATTCATGCAAGCCAAGCTACATAATCGCTTGAAAGCAGCGTAGAGATAGCAAGGGCCGTGCCCAAATCCATATAACCTGGCACCAGCCACTTGCATCTCAACCACATCACAAGGGGGCCACTTGCACAGAATTGATTCGTGCGCAGCAATGCCGCTGTGGCGCAGCCATACTGCTGGGCAATGGCGAAGATCATTGCAGCCTCACCACGCTGGTAGTAGGAGCGAGGGAAGCATTGTGCATCATTGTGCAAATGCAACTCCAAACTGCCCATGAAACCTTTGTTCCACAAACGCATGATGATACACTAGTAGTAACAAGAAGCTAGTAGTAACAAGTGCATCGCTAGTAGTAACAGGTGCCTTACTAGTAGTAACAGGTGCCATACTAGTAGTAACAAGAAGCTACTAGGAACAAGTGCATCGCTGAAGTCTGACATCGATGAAGTCCGCCGAGCCCAATCGCGCCTGAATGCATGGCACCACCGCGGTAGAGGCCAATGGCAGCTGTGCCATTGCCCCATCCGCAAAGCCGGCGATCACCGCGGTGGCATGGCGAATGGTTGCTATGGAGCCCTGCTTGGTGGGCGAGGATTCGCAGGACTCGGACACAGGCTCCTGAAAGCGTGTTCAGTGCAATGAGCGTTGAAACAACGTGGCAAGACGCAGAGTGGAAGCTAACTAGCCAAAGGAACCTAATAGCGATGGCCTCCGCCCCACCTAGTAGAAATGGCCTCCAACCTAAGAGCGATGGCCTCCAACCTACTGAAGGAACACAGAATAGAAAGAGGTGAACGGTGAAAGAAGGTTTTGGATCAAACGCCGGAGTCAATCAAAAGCTAAATTCAGGACACGAAGGAAGGCCTTGGTCTCCAAAGAGATGTTCGACGGAGTGGGCAACCTCAGGCACCGTTTTCGTGACGGTGCCAAATCCGACACAGAACAATGCCAGTAGCAAGACCTAATTGCGATGGCCTCCAGCGCCCGAATTTGTGAATGCTCAGGTCTAGAAAGACGGATTGGTATGCATCGAACGTGCTTGTGCTCCCAGCGTGCCAGGAGTCGGTGATGAACTGACTGCATCATCGGCCTGGCAGTGTGCCCGGACATGGTCACTATGGCCAAAGACCAATTTATAAACTATATATCTTGTCTTAATATGTCTTAATACCTCTTACTCTTTGAGTGGCGTTCGGTTAAACATCTTCACAGCAAAACGAACACATTTGAAAGTAGTAGTGCTTTTCTTGGGTGGGACGGGCCATGGCCTTTGCAGCCAAGAGGAGCACCTGAAAGCAAGGTCAATTGCCGTAGAGGTCTGCAAACTGTCCACGTTTGCAGGAGCAGCTGCAGTCCAAGATGCGGAGAGCCAAAGAGTAAAAATGGCAAACTCCTCAACACACGACAAACAACTGGCATGCTTCCAACCAGGTGGCTTTGAATCATTGTTAAAATACCCGCCCATTAAAGAGGTCCTCAACACGCACTCCGCACAGCTGAGCCCTTTTTATGATGCCATTGGGTGACCGGAATCGATACGTCGCCCGCCGCTTTGGAGCCCATCTCTCGGCGTCGCCCGCCGGCTACGGCCTATCACCAGCTTCTTCTTTTCCAATCATCGTTAGTTCAATTCTTTCAATCCTATTGGCCATGGCCTCCAACCTAAGAGCGATTAGTCCAATCGTCTGTCCGGATCTTTCAATCGGATGCCAACGAATCGGAATTCTCAGGTGAAACATCAGCCGCTCCGAACATCGCTCGAGCAGCTTTGACGGCCTTGGAGATGACCTGGACAAGTGCAAGCGGAAATCGTTGTGTTGCCCTCAGTGTCTTGCCCTCGTATGAGGCCAAGGTACAAGTTGTGACCAATAAAGCTGGAGAACCCAACCCAAGGTGAAGATCGAGCCAACCTCGAGGTTGGACAATTCAAGACATGGACGAAGATGGCCAAAGACTCTTTCACAAAACGGAAGAGGATGAAACAGCTTGTTGGCACATGATGTCCTCTACACGCTATGATCAAATCAACAGTTTTCTTGAAGCGGAAGTCAGCGGCAAGGACAGACTCGCTCCAGTTGGCTCCAGTCGGGTATGTCCACAAGTAGTAGTTAAACTCCTCAGGAGGATGAACAACACACCCAAACTCATCCGATTGTGAAGAAAACATGATCCACCAACCGCCAGATGTTTTGAAGGACAAGGAACAAACAAGGAGAACACATATGAAAACATACAGTGCTCAAACATCTCAAGCGTCGATGATGCAAAAGCCAAACCAAAAAATACGAATCACCACAAAGGTCAACGCCTCAAATGTTGAGGAGGGGCCCAAAGGGCCTCTGCGGAAGCACGGGCGGATCGAGGGTTCAAAACGGATCAAAACTGCAAATGAGCCATCCACATACGGAATATAGGGATGCTGAAGCAAGTTGAATGGCTAGCGGCTAGACCCAAAACATAACCACATCTCTCAGTCTGTCTTGTTCAGTTCAGACACAAAAAAGGCAGCTGCTACATCAGATAGAAGGGCGCACATCTTGCCCTCCAGCTGGCGAAAAAGCAAGTGCCTCAAACGTCCGCAAGCGCGGTCTTTGTAAAACCTTTGGTCGAAAAGCATCTACATCTGCAGGATATCAACATTCTTGATGCGCGCACGTGCGGAAAGTGTGCTCCGTGTAGCAGTGCTGGGCTGAACCAATTGGGCACAAAATGAACCAAGCAATGCCCCCTATACTAATAGCGTCCTTGTTCTAGTAGCGTCCTTGCTCCTACAATGGCTGGATGAAGTACATGTCAGCTCGGTTCCGGGGAACTTTCTCTCAGACTCTCCCTGTCAAGCGACGTGCTGAGGAATACGCTCGACACCTCCATGCTCATAGCGCTGCTGGCCAACTTGGGATAAACGCCCAAATGTAGCACTAAGAGGCCCGCCAGGAAGAAGCCTTAAAGAATTGATACAGTATTGCTCGTGGTAGACATGAGGCGGAAGAAGGTGGCGTGCAGCACGCCACAGTAACTGCCACACTGTACAGAGTGGAGTCTTGATGCCAAAGGTGCCTATGTGATGAAGCAAGGTGTCTATCCCAGTCTCCCACTGCAAGAGCCAGAAAATGATCCTCAAACAATCGACGAGTGCAAGCAAAACAACGTGGCTACTGGCTACTATCTATATGACTGAAGAATAAGAAGCACGGAAAGTTGAATGCGTAGCCTTCAACCAAGCCACTGGTAAAGGATGTTGCCCGTGAACATCTCTCCTATTCGACCACACTGGACATCTTGCATAATGTCTGTCTGCTTGACTGGGTTGACCAGAAAGGCAGACAAGGATGCCTCTTGACCTGTCCGCGCTCGGCGCCACACTCGGTCGAAGTGCACCATTCCCGAGATGAATTCGGTGCCGCACGGCGGCTCGACAGGCCTCGAAGTTGATATTGCACTGACAGAATCAATGCCGCAGGCCCCAAATAGAGATGCGTCCTTGGATCACAAGAGTTCGGCAAAACGCTACTAGGAACAAGAAGCTACTAGGAGCAAAGGGCATCGCTACTAGGAGCAAGGACGCTACTAGGGGCTCCTGGCCGTACTACTAGGAGCAAGAACCAAACTCACAAATGCATTCAGACATGTTCAGACATGGAACGTAATCGCCACGATGCAGGAGGCTGCATTGTGTACAAATTCTGTCCTCGAAGTGCCTAGCAAGCACCAAACACTGGGGCCTCTCGAGTGACTTGGCGGCAGAATAGTGCCCTGCTCTTGATGCACGCATCTCCGCACCTTTATGCAATAGGACCCATCTAGTTGAGTGTTCAGAATTGTCGTGATTTTGTCTGTGGTGCAGTTCTCCTGGTGAGGGCCATCAGTACAGGCTTGTGCAGGATGAATGCCGGACTTCCAACCATGACACCTGCCTCGTTCCTTGGCTGCCTCACTCATCGGCAGCTGGTGTCGAAGTAGCATGAACTTCAAGGAGAGGGCATAGACCGAAAAAAGGAAGGCCCATGCCAGCACAGCCACCAGTGAGGTCCTCAGCTAACGAGGCAATCTCCTGGGAGGTGGGATATGAAATGGACATGAATGCCTGAATCCGAGTCACTCGAACGATCTATGTAGATGGTATTCAGTCCTCAGCTCATAGCAGCTCCACTTCAAAATTCCTAAGCTCCCAACCTAAGAGCGATGGCCTCCACCCTACTAACGATGGCCTCCACCCTAGTAGCGATGGCCTCCAACCTAATAGCAAGGTCCCCAACGCTCCATCCCCAAGCTCCCAAGGTCTCTCAGCACACAGTTCGCACAAAGTCTTCGAAGCGAGCTGCGATGGATTCGCGGCCATTGAGAGCGAGGGGATGTTGGAGAAAACAATACAAGAAGTATGGAATCGTCATTGCAACCCTGATAGCATCTGATAGACCGAGAAGTCTTGAACTGCAAAGACATGGATGTTGGACTTCTTTGAACATTCTTGAAGTGAATTGTGAAGCAGTAGCGCTGCTGGCTGCGAGCCCAAAAAAGCGGTATGGCTTGCTGACTTCCATAGCTTCCCAGCTAATGAGTCTTCATCTGTTTCCCACCAATTCTGGGAACCTGGAGAAACCTCTGGAGAAGGAAGGAACCAGCAAAATCTAGCAAGGAATTGAGAAACCTGACGCGAACCGTACACAGATCCAGTTTTTAGACATCAAAAACTGCTCTTCGACAGGCTGTCCTGGAAGCCGCGCGCCATGGTCGGACACACAGTCCGCCCTCTCTGAGGCAAGCGTTGCCCCGCTGTTCAACAAGTCTTGTTCAGCTTGGCTTGGCTAGGGTACGAAACTGAAAAACAGACTATCCGACTATCCTATCGAGTTGAGTTGAACCGTGGACACTCACGCTGCGACGTTGTTGCATTCAAAACGAAGGTTTCCAGCACTTTGGCACGCGTGCAGTCACGCGTGGGCATCTTGGGCCAAAGTTTTCAGCGGACGGGACATACGTGAAAACTCTGAAACGAAACAGTCTTCTTCCTGGATGATTTGTTCTTCATATGAATATGGCATGCATTAATTAACTGATATCAGGTGTTCTTGCTGATATCATCAGGTATGGCACGAATTACGGTATGATTATTTTTGGAGGCTGTTCCACAATGGTCCACCTTATTTCTCCCTCGGTGGTCCCGGCACCAATCGGCTTGGACCAAAGAACCAGCTTGTAAACCACCCTGGCCGGGTCGATTTTGATAGACCTCCATTCCTCACACCTCTTAACTAAGATTCCACTCTGCTTTTGGTGCATGGTCTTCATTGAGTCTTCATTGAACTGCAAGTCAAACAGCCAACGGCATCTTGCGTCGCGTGTGTGTCGCCCTGGCCTCCACTCGCTGCTACTCTCGCACTCTTTGCCAGCTGCAAATCCTTCAGGAATCAATGTCGAACATGCCAACATGTCAATGTCAGCTTGGCGTCAAAACAGCTCCAAAAAATTGTATTGACACATATTACCGCCTGACCTACGAACCTATCTGACCGCCTGTAGCTCGTTCTGAAGCATGGACTGAATTAAAACCCGATAAAGCTCGGATTGAACAATATGAAAGGATATGAAAGGGTTGTTTTTGTATGTTTTCGCCATGAACTGCCAGGTTCTACCAGGGCACGTTGTAACGGCGTCTCTTTGGAGCCAAGCTCAAATTGCAAGGCCTCAGCATTGGCTTGTTGAGACCAGTGCTGACTTCAGTGGGCATGTGTGCATCCTTGAAGCAGAACAAAGAATGTGCGAGGAAGACCCTCAAGGAGAACTGTAAACATTGGCTACCGTAGGTAAATGTCTAACTCCTTCTTCGCCTCGTGATGGGCCCACTCTATTTCAACAGCTGCACTGAAACAATAAAACAGGAAACCTCTGGGAAGTCCTGTGGGACAACCAAGCCAACCTTCTAAAAGGTCGCAATGTTCCTTGGCTTGTTTTACGGTCTTCGAACAGGTTGCAACCACAAAGAACGACAACATGCCAAGGGTGTGTGAATGCATGAGGGTGCATGTACTCACGGCAGTGACAAATGGCTTAGCTGTAGCTTTCATAGGCAGCGGCAAATGTCTTTTTCACGGCTCCAAAGCCACATCTCAGCTGCCGGCCACGAGAATGCAACACCTGAGATTGTGACAACGTGACGATCGCAGAAGGCACATGAAGGCAATCACGAAAGCGGAAAACCAGCGAGCAACACGGTGCCAACGGTGAAGTGTAGTCATTGCGCATGGCTCGGAATCCAAAGCCTCAGCTCAATGTCACATTTCCTCCTTCATGTCGTCAACATGCTCCATGTCTTCGGCGCTTTCCTGCGTTTCCTTTTGGTCCCGGCTGTGTTTGAAGCCATCGCTGCTGCAAATGTCGCCTTTCTGCATCGTCCAACGCGTATGTTCCCGATCCTGCGGAGCAAGGATTTTCACTCAAATACTAATAGCTTCTTGTTACTACTAGTAAGGCACTTGTTAGTAGAAGCGAAGCACTTGTTTCTACTAGCAAACATTGTTACTACTAGTAAGGCCCTTGTTACTAGTAGCGTGGCACTTGTTTCAACACGACGTAAGCGATCCAATGCACGGATCCAATGCGCTCGCTTCACTCGCACGTGCGCTCGCACGCTTCACCTCCTTCATCCCGACCTGCAGTTCTAAAACAAACACATTCTGCTAAGAGATAATCCTGTGCTAAAAGAAGTGGCAATGGGTACAGGCCAAAACCCAAAACCATTGGAGTAGCATGGGGTAGTCAAGAAAGAGTGTTTTAAGGCATTGGCTACGCGGCAGCTAGGGTGCTCACGCAGTATGCTTGGCCAGTGGCATCCCGCGAAGTGTAGATTGTGTGGGCCTGGACATTGGAGTCACTGGGCCAAACAGTCTGGACATGCTTAGCCAGCATCTGCTTAGCATCTGCTGCTCAGCATCTGCTCAGCATGTGTTTTCTCTACTAGGTTGGAGGCCTTCACTATTGGTTGATGTTTTCACATGGCTTTCCTCTGAGTCTCTCACATGTGTCCAATGAGTTCCAGTTGGCCGGTGCCTAACTGTGACAATGTGTGGCATGCTGTCAACATCTCGAAGCGATTCTCCATTGTTACATAAAACTGAAGGCTCGCACTTGCCCATACAGCCCCTCACAGAATTCTCAAATCCTCAGCCAGCTCGAAGGTACAAGATGGTACAAGCAAAAGGTTCGGGCATCTGGTGTAGCTGCGAAGTCCACTTTCTGACTTTAGCCCTACGCCTTTCTGAGGACCAGGCGGTAGTAGTAGCCTGACTGCTGGTCGGCCAACAAACGCAAAAAACAAAATAAACCAAAGCACTTGTGAAAGCTCTGCATGCCATGTGGGAATCAAATTCTTGGCACTCTGGTTACTGAGTAGCTTCTTGTTACTAGTAAGGCCAGGAGCCCCTAGTAGCGTCCTTGCTACTAGTAGCGATGCCGGGTTCCTAGTAGCGATGCCAGGAGCCAGCAAAATCTGGAAATACAATGCAAACATGTCGTCAACATCCAATGAGACGCTACTAGTTCCATCTATTGATTGTTCGGATGTGTTCAGTTGTGTTGGAACTGTCCCAACCCAGGCTCAGGCCAACTTTGTTGAAGGAGATGCAAATGGGCACCCGTTTCTCTGCTGGAATGTTGGTTCCTGAACCTCAGAGAAAGGTAAAGGAGAGGGAGGAGAGAAAGGCAAGAAAGAAAACTCTTAAACGCACCATGGATGACAAAACAACATTCGACGATGGATTCAGACATATGAAGTTTCCATAGATGATCCAATCACTATACGATATCCGAAAATTTGTTGCATTGGGCCATGGCCAACCACCCACCCCTGCTTCTTGGGGTCCGGCGAAGGACCGGGAAAAAATCGACATGGCTCCACCCTGCCAAGATCTTCAAAGTAATCTAATAGCAATGGCCTTCAAGACCAATCCAACCATTTTCCGTTTTTTTGTTCTGGTTTCTTTTCCCCCGTAGGTTCCTTTCTGAGAAGGATGGGCAACATCAAGAAACCCGGCCACTTTCGGCAAGGAGAACAGCGATGCACGCCGCGTTTGTTTGGAACAACTGGTTCACCAAAACCTGGAAACAGGTCCATACTGAAAATAAACACCAGACAACATCACCACCCCGGCATAGACCGCAAATCGCGTTTTGATTACGACTTCTAACTGGCAACTGAATCCCGAATGCAATAAATAGGGCCAAGACCGTGATGCAGTCTGATGTGAACAGGGGACATCCTCTGAACAAAAAGATCAAGTGATCAGAGTTGCAGGGCTACACGATTCCAAGCCTGATCCCGGCAAAAGACCCCAAACAGTGTTAAGTAGAACAACACAAGGGTGAATAAGTGAACCTCCACACCAAAAAACGTACACATGAGAGCACGCCGATAAGAGCACACAATGGGAAAATTTGTGCGGTACTCATTTGCCGTTTGCCACACACCAGCCTCAGTCAAAAACCTAAGAAGGCAAGGACAGGTGGAAGTAAGGTGGTCTGAACATCTTCAAAGCCTCAAAAGCCTCCAAGTCCAATGCCGAGACCCCCAAAGAAAGCAAATGCAGAGTTCAAAGTTCTGCAGAGCTCAAGCCGATGCAATGGCCAGTGACTTGCTCCAGTGACAATGGGGCCCAGAAGGAAGTTAATGGTGATCACTGCAGGTACGCCATCAGGCGTCTTCGATGATATGCAACCAGCATATGAGGAGCTTCATTGGATGGAGCCACATACGTCCTCCCCATCCCCCTGCGTTGCTAAACACGCCCTTTTGATTCCAAGGGTTCCACACACACGCCCCGCGTAGAAGGGCAAAAACTAGAACTAGGGCCCAGACTAAGGTGTAGGCCGGTGCAGGTGCGCACACGCAATGGACAAGAAGATGAAGACATCAGAGGAACACAGGACAGGACAGTGTGTGTGTGGCTGCGATGAAAAGGAACCAAGTG